ACACACACACACACACACACACAGTATATCTGTCTGTGTGAATGTGTTTCTGTATTCAGATCATTCATTTTTTGCATGAAATCAGACTTTTCGAGTCATAGGGTAATTTGCTGATGTGTGTTTATCTGCTCATTAACTGGAATGCTTCTGATTAGAGACTCGGAGAGAGAAATAGCACAAACAAATCTACCGCCGCTAATTTAATCCGTACCATTGAAATAGTTTCACTTCTGTGTGATTGATATTTGGAGTATTAACTGCGGTTTCACTTTGATTATGTGGTCCGAGTCATTTTTGAACCTCTTTGACCTCCTGTCACTCATAGAAGTGATTATAAAAGGAGGGACTCCCCAAATGTGCACTGTTAGACCCTTTAAATGACTCAATAATGACCACCAGGCTGTAGCTCATATCAGGAGAACAGTAGTGTCGGTATTTAAATCTTTGTAAATGTATTTTTTGCAATTATTTGATCTTAGAAATTCAATAAAAATGGCGTCAACATGAACTTTACTCATAAAAGCAGTTTATATGAACGACAAAGGCTTTGACAATAAACAACCAGCAGAATAATACAAATGTTTAAAGGAAGTATTTGAGCCTGAAGAACCTCTACATCGTTCTACTTGGTTTGTTAGATTAAACTTCTGCTCAGGTCTCTGATTGATGGACAGCTTCCTTCATCGTTTCATGACAGAGAGCAGAGGTCTAAACTGAGAACACCTCAGTAGGACTGTGTACTGTATGTAGTGTCTTTGATAAGAGAACGACAGCTTTAATTTAACTCACGTGATGATTTAAAACAACTGCAGCCTGAAGAAAATGTGAACCCCGCCTGTGACTCCAGTTTCTGTAGGTTGTAATGCAGCTGGACAGCCACCAGAGGGCGCTACTGACCCAGTAATCATTGTGAAACTCTGACATGGAGGGGTTTAGTGTGGTGTAGCTTAAATTACAGATAATGTACTTTAATGTGCAGAATGAGTTCTGAAGATGAAGAAAAAATAAACTGAAACTACTGAAAGAAGCCGGAACTAAACTTTGTGCGTCTTGAGTCTTTCACCAAGGGATCAATAAGGTCTCATCGTTAATAACACAGTACATCATCATTTATGTGTTGATTATAGTTTGTATCAGTAATCTGAAACTGAAAAGTAGCTAGTAACTAAAGTTGTCAGACAAATGTAAAGTATAAAAAATACTACTTTGTTACTTTCCACCACTGAGTATCAAAATAGCTGATTAACATTATTTGATCCATTAATCAATTAGTTATTGTTTAGTATTAACTTTGTATTTCTTCCAACCTGATTCATAACGATCGCTTGTTCTGAAGGAAAGTCTAAAATCTTCTGATAGACACCTGATAGTCATAATAACAATATATAGTAATATACTGTCATAATGCAGAGTTACTGTCAAACTGCACGACATGAGGGCTGCAACTAACAATTACTTTAATTATCGATTATTTTCTACATTAATCAATTAATCGTTTGGTCCATAAAATGTCAGAAAATAGTGAAAAACACCCGTTAGAGTTAAAGTTGATCTCCAAATCTTGTTTTGTCCAACGAAGGAACAACACACGTTTATTTATTAACACATAAAACAATGAAACACAGCAACTCCTCAAAATGAAGAGGTTAGAACTGGAGATTGTTTCTTTATTTTTGCTTGAATAATTACAAATTATAAATTAATTATTAAAATAGTTTCCACTTCATTTTCTATCGATTGACTAATGCTACAACAAAGTCATTTGCAGTTCATATAACCGACTTAAAAATCTTACTAAAAACTATGATATTGTCTTCCAATAAGGTGAAAACACTAGTTTTTCTTCGACTGTAATAAAGTGTAGCTCACAATGTTAGTCAGAGTTGTTTCCGTTCATTTATTCTTTGCTCTCATCGGACTGAAAAGCAGCACAAACATCACTGTTTGAGAATTCTGTTTATTTTCAAATATACATTTCATTTGAAAAATATAAATTCTAAAATAAACCATTTCACCTGTTTCTAAAAAGTCACAAAAAAGTTAATCAAAACAAAGGTATGAGTATTTATTCCGTACCCTAAAATGATCATTAAACACGTGTTTTCATTTGATGTTGTGGATGTTTGTCCCGACATGCTCACACAGTACGACACACTTTAAACTAACAACTCCCACTAAAAACACGTCCCAGACATTAAGTCACACTTGTTCCCACTCGCTGCTGCTGACTAACAACACTGATGGAGTATAAACGACGTCGCTACATGGGCTGGTGAGCTGGAAGAAGAAAAACCGAACAAAAACAACGACGCGCCTTTTATGTACATGGTTTCCAGAGGAGGAAGGCGGCTCATTCATCACGCAGTTTAATTTGACTTCTATAGTGGTGAGGAAGACAGAGAGGACTGCCACTAAAGGCTCAGACATTCAAGTGAGACGGTGCTCCGGTGGGCCCTGTAGAGATAGAGTGGGGGTGCTGTGACGACGAGCAGTGCTTCAGAAGGTCATACTGGCCAATTACAGTTCTGAGAGGGTTCATTCTTTCTGGATGGGACTGTGGATGCAGTGAATAGTGTTTTTACTCCAATTGCCTAATTTCGGCAGCTTGAGTCCTAAAAATCCAACTGTGGATGTTTTATTTTAAGCACGAGTTTGGGTTTTTACAAGTCTATTAAAATATTATAAAGATTGGGGAGCAATAATTACAATCGCATGCAAAAAAATGATCTGTTAGTTAATGCTAATGAAGCTTCAGACCAATCCAGTGGGTATCCTTTAAAGTTATGATGGGTTTTTTTCCATGTCAGAGGGACACTTCTATGGGTTTATACGCGACACCAGCAATGATCGTAAAAACCCGACCAGACTGCGATACCCGCTTGTTTTGACGAAGGCCTCTTTAAGGAGTTACTATGAATCCCACTGCTTTTCTTGGCAAGACCTAAACTCAAGTTAGCAATGTTTACTGAGGTAATAAATCAAGTAAGAAGTAGGGTCCTTTTCTCATAGACTTCTATACAACCAGAGGAGTCGCCCCCTGATGGACAGTAGAGAGAATGCAGGTTTTAGGACACTTCTGCATTGGCTTGTTTGCAGGTTGCCGTCTGGGTACCGGTAACTTAAATTAATGCCTCTTTCACACATACATACTCAAACGCACCAATAGGCTACATGAGGCGTCCAGGGGAAACTTTGGGAAGTTAAGAAAGGTTTAACTTCATCAAAAAAATAAAAATAAAATCATCTTATTTATATATTTCAAGGTTCCAATTGAATAAGAAAAAAAGACGCGTGGAAACACGTAGTGTAGCTTGTGAGATAACTACTTCAGCGTGCACCGATATACTGGCAACATGAGAAAATAACAGTCCAGTTGGATAAAAGGTTTAATCAACAAAAACAAGCAGCAAAAGTCCGGCTGGTAAGGGACTCTTTGCATCTGCATGTGTGAATAAACTCTTAACTATCGATGCATTTTCTTCCCGGTTTCAGTTTAGTTGCTCTACAAAGAGACGGCCTGTACAGGAAGAACGACAGCGACCAATAACTCACAGACAGTGCTGCGTGCGAGTACTGTACTGAGATAGGCTTTAATTATATTAAAAACGAAAAGAAACATGTGATCCCATCATCAGATAACTCCAAAGCTGAGACAAAAAGAAATAAACCTGCTGCACAGAGCTTCTCCTAACTGTCGTCACATCGTCACCACAATCGTTCCCGTCTGGATCGATCTCTTATAAGCCACTTAGGTTAAGTAGTTTGTGCAGCACAAGCGATTATATGATATGCATTCCTAGTTAGAGTAAGTTTGGCTGAGGAAAATCAGATGATCAAGTCTCGCTAAACTGTTTTCTACCAGCAAAGGACATAAGAAAAAGTTACCAACATACACACACAAGATAAAATGATTTGATTTAAAAGAGTAACAAAAGCTTTGAAGTGAACACACGTGAAAGAAAGAGTCAGAAAATTAGAAAGAGACGGTGACTCAATCAAAAACTGCATCAAAAAGTGATAATAAAAATATTTTACCTCATCTGCACATACAAATGTGCGTTGTTAAGCAACTGTTAATCAACTTAAAAATAATCTATTTGCACACGTTTCCTTCACAAGCTATGAGACAGTGAATCTCTTGAATCATTCAACAGGACAGAGAGAACATATCAAAACCCTCGCGCTGTCTCACAAATCAACATGTTGCATTTGTTCATAATAAGCCTTTAATCTAAAACAAGAGGTAGAGCTATAAAACAAAAAAAATAAACGTGATTTTCCTGCTACAGGAAAATGTTATTAGAGTAAATGACTTGATATAAAAATTCCCACAGATATTTGTTTCTATATGTATATATTAAAAAAGGAGCAGGGAGGCGTTTCATGCGTGGTCAGAGAGCTGCAGCGTTTACCGTGATGTGGGAGGAGTTGCATAGAAGAAGAGTGAGGAGTCACATTTATCAGTTTACTGTGGAGCTGTGCGGGAAAATACCAAGAGAAGACTGTGAGCAAAGAAATGCTTTTAAAATGGCTTCACTATTAGAAAAAGAACGTTTTCTTGTGTCGTGTTAGACTCTTTCCTTTGTTTTGTTTTTGCGGTGCGTTTCCCTTCTTTTCTCTGTGACGTATTCAGAACAAAGTCTTTTGGATTTCGGAGTTAAAAAGAATATTTTTGCAATAATGTAAAGTCAGAGTTGTCTTGCGTCGCCTGCCGGTGGTTCGGTGCTCTACAGAGACGTTTCGGATCCTCTGCTCTTCCAGTAGAATGAATTGTCGTCGTCGTCGTCGGGGTCCATGTCTATTCTAATCTGAGGCACAGGCTTCAGCGGACTCATCTCGGGGCTGAAACACAGAGCGGTATGTTGTTAGCACACATGCTGGGATGTCGTGTTGAAACTAAAGGAATTGTTGGACTATAAATATATTGATTTTAAAACTTTTCTAACTCTAGTGGACGGCCTTCCACGCCACGCCAGACCAATAACATCAGAACATCGGTGAACAACATTGTTGGGATCAGTTTCAGAGACATTTGATGAACAATAAAAACGCCGACAGCCAATCAAAATCCATCCGGATTCACAAGCTGTGTGACCAGCTGATTCTCCGTGCTGCGAGGCACCAACGTGAACAACACGAAAAACATAAAGGTGGTCAGAAACAGCAGATGCAACATTTATAAACCACTTAATTTAGTGTTTTATTATAAGAATATGAATAATATGGAAACAGTTGAGAAGTAGCCGCTGCTGTGCATCTTTCAGCACCACGGAGGCGAGGAGAGCAACGAGAGATGCTTTTGATTTCAATAAGTAAACTTCATTGCTGATAGAAAATATATATATATATATATATATACACACACACACACACACACACACACACACACGTCTGTCAATTGTAAACAACAAGTTTCTGTTGTTTTATCAGCACTTCCTGTCATGTGATGACATTTTGCCAGTTTTTTCGCCAACATGCTTTTTTTTTTTCCACACATTGTCCCGAAACACTAATCCTCTTTGGTCAGCAGTGGGACAACAATCGTAGAGCAGATGATGTAACACGGGACCAGGACACTGGATCCTGGTCATCATTAAATGTTGTCGGCATGATGGAGGAACATAATCTCTTCTTGAGCATCATAATCATCGCTCTAACAATAAAAAACAACAAGGCTCGTTCTGCCTCTTTAAGACCGATTGTCTCCACTGAAGCTCATGACAGTGAAGCACAATGTGTATTTATCTTATTGGATATCAATTAACAACACAAAATAATGACAAATATTGTCGAGAAACCCTCACAAATACTACATACATTCAGCATAAAAAATATGCTCAGATCATAACGTCATAAACTCAGCTGTCGGTGAGCTGACTTTGTAGATCGTGCTGTTAGTTACTGCTAGACCTCCCAGGCCAGGTTAAGAGTGAATATTACATATAATAATAATATAAAATCTTATATCAGATGGACACAAACACGACTCAACAAAATGAATGTTTATCCATAACTTCTGGATGTGTAAAATAAAGCAACTGTTGGCTTAACACATTCTCTGTATCGACTCTTGATGCGTCAGTGTTCACAACTCGCCTCAGCTGCCCCCAAGCGGACAAAGAAACAGTTACAGCCGGTCTAAAAGGCACCGAGAGGAGACGTCCGAGCTGGAAAAATGCAGTTCAGGTAAGTTAATCAGCCTAGCTGACCTTTAAAGTTCAGACTAGCATTATATGTTTGATAGTTGGCTCGCCATCTGACCTTTTGCAACCTTTGATGCCACAGTCATCAAAGAATGAATTCAAAAAGAAACCCAGTTATAATGAGGTTTATTCCCCCCCCTCCCCCTCTGTACCGTTTAATTCGGCCCGTTACGTGAGCTTCACTCTCTCGTCTCACCTGGACAAACAGTTGTCTTGGTAGTAGCGAAGCTGCTCAGCACGATGTGTGTCGGTCAAGGAATGATGAGGACTTCTCTCCTGGGGAGGAAAGGAAAGAAAAAACAGCCGTTAGTGTGCATGTAGCCACGCTAATGTGTGTTCCATGCATCAGACCAGCGACCTCTAGATTCTACAAGTGTTCAGTCCAACTAAACACGACCGCAGCTGATTTCACTCCAAACAGAAACTAAGAGGAATCAGCCGCTAAAAGGGTTTTGATGGAAGACAACCTCATCATCGGATCATCTACATATTGATTATACGTTTACTTTTTGGAATTTGTTCAAACAATAACTGTTACTTAAACTACATAGTAAAGGGACAGTTCACCCCAATACCAATAAAAAATACATATTTTTCCTCTTACTTGTAGTGTAAATATATCTATATGGCACTCGGCTTGCATTTGAAAAACTCAACAGTGATGCCTCTTTCCAGAAATCCTGACCCGGTTACTCAAGATAATCCACAGACCTTGTTGTGAGCAGTTTTCGAACAGGAACTATTTTCTTTCTACCACTAGACAACGGTATCACCACGCAGAAAGTAGCGCGCGTCTACACTCGATACTGCTAGTTCATCTAGCGTCACTGAGCTAACGTTACAGCTCAGCTGAGGAGGATGCCACTAATGTTTACATCTCACACTGTCATGAGTACGAGCCTCTCTAGATTGATAAATAGAGCTACAATTAAGAGGAATAATATCTTTGATTGTGGGGTGAACTTTACCTTTAAGACAATGTTAGATGTCGGCGTGCTACTGTCAGTCAAACGGGCTCTTTTACATGAAGCTAAAATAAATGTATCTTTGATTTAGACAAGCGTCGTCTACAACAAAGTATGAAATTCAACACAAAGCCTTCCATGAAATCAGCAGTGATACTTGGGTTGAAATCATGAACTGAAGTAGAAAGAGTTCGGTCCAGCAAGCAAGAGTCTCAAAGGGAAAAGACTAATAAAGTCATAGCATCACAAACCAAGAAGAAAACGTTCAAGAGGAGAAGAAAATGTGTTATTTTTTTATGCATGTTTTGAAATAAAAGACAGGGCTGGAGTAAAGGTTAAAGACAAAGAAGGAACGTTAACATCATGCAGTTAGTGAAAGAGCAACATCAACTCTTAGTCACAGAAGAAGACGTCAGAGACACTGAAGGAGGAAGCAGAGCAGGAGTCGGTCGCGATCAAGAGGAAGACGCATTTTCCCTCCAGAGCTGCAGCTAGTTTCGGGTCTACTCACCGTCGGAGGCCTTATCACCTAAGAAAGGCTCCTGCTCCATTATGTCCATGGGGATTTTAATGCTGGGAACTTTTTCATTGTAAGGATAGTCAGACTGTTGGAGAAAGGAAACGCACATCCTGAGACGGGACCTCTGGGCGTGTCGGTGAGTTATCATCAACACACGCATTCATAAGCCTAAGCCTGTGACGACCTGCATTCCCTATTGAGTCGCTTTTTCAGGAAAAACTATTGATTACTAAACAGCTGGTGGTGATGCAACTTGATTTACACTTTCCTGGTTTGCAAAAGTAAAAGAGGCAATGCAACAAAGTACGGGTGTCACAATTTTGATTCTAAATTGAAAGTTTAAAGTTTCAATTCAAGTTGTTGTTGTAAAGTGGCTCTTTTTCTGTTAAACAGTTTCTTTATAGTCATTACATTTTAAATACATTTCAAATTTGACCACATGGCCTTAGTGTGGTGCATTCCCCCCAAACTATGGCGGTTATATCGCACTCAATACCATGTAGTCTAATTTAAAAGAAGAATTTAAAAATGTAAATGACAGCGGCATAAAACCAATGACCTGATGTTTTGATCTTTACGACTTGCTTGTCCAACAATGGCAAAGCCATCAGTGCTGAAAAAAAGATGTTTAAATGGAATTGTGAGACAAATCGAATCATGGAAATAGAGACTCGTGATACTCGTAGTAACGTGGCTCAGAGATTTCTGGTGCAGTTGGAAAATCAGAAATGCGATAAACCTTTCTGCCCGTCTGTAAGACTCAAAAGGGCAAGAAGAGCTTAAATCTAATTTTACTCACTGATGTCAAGTCTATGGCATTTTACAAATATATCACTCGCTGGGTCTAAGAACGATTGTTCACTGATCCGTCTGGCTTCAAGATAAAAGTCTTCTTTCGATCTGAAATGAAGCGCTTAAAAAATAAACCCGATCTAATCTGACCAGAGGATAAATATATCTGGTCCGAAGATGCAGTGAACCAAACAGTAAACAGAGAACCCATTTCACAATATCATTTTTACCCGGCCCAACTTGGGTCCGTGGTCGGGTGTTACGCCTGAAAGACTGCTGAAAGACTGTTAAATCTTTGAGCAAAAACAACAACAAAAATCTGCTGGATGTGCATCTTTTACACCGAGAAGACATAAATAATCACTGAACATTGGTAAGTGACTCCTGCACTATATATCTTTAATATCTGACATTTTTGTCCGAGGCTATAGAACTCAGTAATTATAGCATCTGCTGTGTTATTAAATCTTCTCATCTTCACTCATTTACAACAAGTGACACTGAGGGAAAGACCTCCTATAGACCTGGACATTGATTAGCCTGTGGGTGAACACTCAAGTGGTACATGAAGGAGGAGAAAACAGGGAGTTGAGATCGTTGGTGACAGACTTGGGAATGGGCCGTCATGTAAAACACGAGAAAAAACAAAAGGTCGGATGTGTTGAAACTGTAAACTCAAAAGCCTTACGTCTTCCGCGTCGCTGTCTATGCTGCCTCGTTTTTTCTTTGTCTTCTTATCGTCCTCTTTCTTCTTCTTGTCCTTCTCTGGGATGACGTCGTCCAAGAAGCCGAGTTCATGCTGCGAGAACATCCAGTCCATCGCTTTTCTGACGGCCACCAGAGCGAGGATCTGAAAGCAGAAGAAGAGGAGGCTCAGAGTGGACTGGGAGGTCATCTCTTACAATTAATAATCAGTGTGGTTTATGCTGTTGTGGTGAGCCTCAGAGCGCCATCTAGTTGGCCAAGGAGGTACTGTCACATGGTGCCATTGCCTCTTTAAAATCGTTTCCAATGAGGAGGCATCGCTCATTATCGCCTCCATTTCTACTATTATCAAAACATTCAACAGCGAGAATAGTTTTATGCTCATAGAAACTGAATACTTGTAACTTTTCACTAGCATCAAGATAATTAAATATATATATATATATTATTGGTCATTTGCAGCCTACAAATACACTTCTTTCAAATACTAATATTGGCCGAATATCACTACAAATGCCTCTCACCATGACGGGGAACACAATGGCGGCCACAGTGGACTTGAGGATCCAGAGCAGGGCCAAGCAGAGGATCTGGATGAAGGTGAAGAGGTGGACCTTCCGGAGGGGAACGTGTCGCAGGTAAACCAGGTCGGGCTGATGCTTCGCTGGCATCAGAAGCAGCTTGAGACGATCCATGAACTGCAGAAAAGATGAGAGGTACAAGTACGCGTGACAGGATGCTCTGCACGCATGAATGAATACATCAGAGGAACAGCTGGTCACCGGCTTGGTTCTTGGATACTCAAGAGGTTCCTTTAGATAAAGAAGCTTCAAATACTACCAACATGACGGGTAAGTTATATGTATAAAAGAATTACCTGCACTCCATTGAGAGAGGCGACTCCCATGTATAGGAAGACTCCATACAGCACAGGCATCGGGATGAACTGGGTCAAACAGAGGAAAGGAGATTATTTTAGTTCAATGTGGACAAAAGACACCAATCGGCCATTCCAGCCCTGAGTTCAAGCAGAAGCTGCTTCAGGAATAATCATTTATAGCTGAGCCGTCATCGTAAATTAACCTTTACAACACAGACTGGAAGGAGTTAGACTACAATGATGTGATGAAGTGGGATGTAAGGGCTTGATGAGGTTACTATTTTGATCAGCTAAAATCTTTGGTATTACAACATGAATGTTGTTTAAATGTCGATAGAACCTTTTGTCATCCAGGTTTTTTCAATTTCTGCAGTTTTACAATAAACACTTTACTTTGAATTCTCACCTAAAAGCCAAACAATCACTCGTAGCTTTTCCTAATAACATTTTTACATTTAGGAATCAAACCGTCTGTCTCACTAGAAGTTAATCTATTACTCGGATCTTGTTGACCTCTGACCTCAACACACATTGACTGAAGAGTAGCGGCCAACTGGAGAGTTTAGTGTTGACGTTTGTAGAGGAACAGGATTAAAAGTGTATTCATCTTTCTTTTCTCAGACAGTTAGTCAAGAAAAATCCAAATAATAAACCTAGTTGTGAGAATAATAAGAAGCCTATTACTTTATTTTGACACATTTATGTCCTCTTCATAACATAAACATAAGTGCTTTGTTGTGTATTACAACCACAGTAACCTGTTTTTGTCCGTCAGTGTTGAGATACTTTAGTTTTTGCATTTCAATTTGAGAAGTGCTTTTGTGGTTTGTATGTTGAAACAAGTCACTTTCTAGTGACTGTAATTGCCTGGTGGGATAAAAGATGAAAAGATTAAACTTGAGACACTAAGTGACCGACAACACGAGACAATCTGATTAATTACCTTTAAAATAGGCGACATAAAGACAGACAGTCCTGTGAGGATGAACACGACGACACCGGTGAGCCTCTGCTCTCTGAACATACAAAGAGGGGAGAACAACACAGTTAAACACAAGAAGGAAACTAAAATGTCCGCTTGGTTCAAGTTCCCTTTTTGTTTTTGCGTCTTTTACTAGGAAGTCAATCATTTCCCAAATCTCATTCAGTTCAGCCAAAACAAGAACAACGGCAACATTTTGTAGAGAGTTCAAAGTGTGAAGAAGTTACAAGAGTTTGTTAGTTCAGCTCACAGCTGACACATCAGGAGGCTCTGGAGGATGACGGACACGAAAACAAACTCTAAAAAACAGGAAGAAAATCACAAAGTGTATTTACCGTGGTTTAACGAAAACAAAAACATTATGTTTGCAACTTAACTGGAGTACACGGAGTCACTAATGGACAGCAGAGAGGATTCTTCTCTTAGAAAGTCAAACTCAAAGATATAGTTTGTGTATTTTCCCGACTACTTCTTCGAAAATACAGTTCAAACAAGAGATTAAGGTAATATTTCATGTTTTTGGCACAGTGTATGTTGTCATGAAGTCATGTGACCGTGGTCTGTATCCTAACATTAGCTTTTTACTTTTTTACGCTTCAGAAAACAAACATAAAAGTGTTCATTTGTGAAGATTATCTTGCTGAACAAGTATCATTAACGTTTGTTCACCGCAGAGCTAATTTTCTGCAATTATCCAAAATCCAAAGGAAACACTGTGTTGTTGAGGGAACCAGTGCGATGACAACTTCCTGTCGGCCTACTAAAACATGTACGTCATCCTGCAGCACTCCGTATTGGAACAAAGTTAAACAGCTCCCTGCTCAAGTTTCATATTACTTTCTTATCTGTGCGAGACCTTTTATTAACAGGACAGTGGCTCTGTGTTTTGGAACTGTGACTCAGAAAGGTAGAGCGAGTCGTCCCTCAATCAGAAGATCGGCGGTTCGAGTCCATGTCGACGTGTCCTTGAGCAAGACACTTAACCCCAAATCGCTCCCTAAGACTGTGCCATCAGTGTGTGAATGGGTATATCACATTTGTTTGAGTAAAAATTGTTCAGTTAAGTTTATTTGACTTTATTTTATCCAAAACTGGGGGAGACCCGTGATAAGCCTTTCAGGCTTTTGTCCTCTCTTGCATATTCTGTTAATGATAGTTTTTTTCATATTGTTTTTCTCCTGTGCTATTAGATAAACACCCAAATAAAAAACAAATGGTCAAAGAACGCACTCTGGAACACATTAAAGAAGTCTCACCTCACACCCAGGAACTTCGGCTGCTCTCCAGGAGCCGAAGTTTCGGTTTCCATCTTCAGACTGTCGATGTGAGCGATGGAGATGACGGTGGCGGCTACGTACCACGGCAGACCCATGAAGGAGCAGATAATGAGCAGAACGGCCACCCAGAACAGATCCAGATGGTAACCTGCCCCTTTCTGGTACAGACAACAAACACAAGGTCAAAAGACATGTATCACATTACATTATCACATCGCTGAAATCAAAGAAATCGTCGCTCAAACTTCAGCAGTGACTCTCTGAACCGAGCTGTGTTCAGTCACTGCCATGAAACATCTCTCACCCCCACGAGAAGAATGACAGCGATATTTAACTACAGTGTGAAGGTAGCCAGTGTCCTGTACAAACTGCAGTATGTTCTGGGAAACGCATTAAAATCCCTACTTCACATAAATCACGTTAGACAAACTGAGAGAAAAAGACTCCGTCACTGCAAGGAAACTTGGTTTTGGTGCCGTTACTGAATTTCTTATTTACACACAAAATGCAAGTCTGAGCATTTTACATCACAGGAATTTATTATGCAAGATTTTCTGCAAAGTCATATGCTTCCACAAATGTTGCAGCCAATTGTTACACAATAATACAAATCCTCCCATCTGTGGTCTAAGAACTCTCCTCTGCCTCCCATATAGTGAATCAACCTTGTGTATTAAAACAGTAACGACATTTAGCATTCCAAACATTTTGTCAATAAGGTTTCATCTTTACCTTCAGCATGTGCTCCTTCCTGTTGACTATCACAGCAGTAATCTGTTGGTCCATGAAGACCAGTATGGTGACCAGCAGGGCGGGGAGAGCCGACGCCAGGTAAACCCACCAGGGGTTTCCTCCGAACGGGGGCACAAACCAGCCCCGGTGAGGACTCGTTGGCTGTGGAGGAGGAAGATAAAATGGCATTTGTGCTCAACATGCAGACAGGAGTTGTTGCGTTTCTTTACTGTTTCTGTCAGCTAATGAAATATAAATAACTTTCCAAACCCATTATATTGAATTACATTTATTTGGCAGATGTTTCTGTCCAAAGCAACTTAAAATGTTTCCCTACACAGAGCACTCTTGGAGTCAAGTGTCTTGCTGAAGGTTATTCCGACATGCAGACGGGAGGACAACAGTCTACTGGAATCTTGTTATGTTTCATGAAGCAAAGCACCGAAACAAAATTGCGCTTGAATTGTGCATCGACATGAGCACTTAGGAGGCGGTGAGGGACTCACCTTGAATTCACTTGGCACAATGAGTTTCGGAGTGTCGACTCCAACGAGCATATCGACTCCACAGAAGATGAAGATGGCCAGGATGATGGCAAAGTCACTGACGAGTTTCCTCACCTGGGTGGAAGTTAAAACAAACACTTGACAAAGTTGTTCCCTGTAACCTGCTGGACACGTAATTAGTTTCACCTGACAGAGGACCCGTGGGACTGAATAAGCTTAGTGTGGCCGACTCACCGTGGTGGGGAAGAACGGGCTGGTCTTGAACTTCTTCAGACACATGGAGCAGGTGTAAGTGCCGAAGAACAGGATGAAGGACATGAGGGTGATGTCTGGGACGAACTCGCAGGCCTTCCCCACCAGCTCTCCATTGTACTTTAAGCACTCCGTCGTTGAGAGGGACGACCACGTGGCGTTCATCGGCTGCACAGAGGAAACAAAGAGCGCCGCGATTATAAAGAAATGCAAAGGAGCGCCCCACCGCAGCTGTGACATAAACCGAGGCCGAGAAGATCGGACGGATAACTGTCACAGACTGCACACTGTTTTGGAGTAAACGGAGATAAAAGATAAGCCGACTTAGTGTCACAATAACCTCAAAGTGGAAACAACGTGCTTATCAGACGTTTTTATTTATGTTGTAACATCGTTCAACAAACACATTGTTCTTAAATGTTCTCTGTATCTTGCCACCTGTGGTTGGTACGGGACTTGTGACCGCATTCTTTGACAATCTTTACAAGATTGAAGTAAATCGGTGAAATACAAACAGTACTCTTCGGTACATAAGAGCTGTGGTTACGTACTGTACTTAAGTAAAGTACAAGGACCTCAAAACTGTACTTTTTGTTTCCATTTTCCGCTACAATAATGGTGAGTTTGCAGATTCATATTATTAAAAGTAAATGTAACTCAACTAATAAATGATGATGTACCATTAGGGATATACTGAAGCTACCCAGCAGTATATAAATGAGTTGAAACAAGCTCCATCTTTATCAGCTGCAACATTTAAGTGATGAATAGTTAATAATACCAATTATAATCCGGTAATATAATGTATTTGATTCTAAAATGGGCCAATCTGTTGATGATGAGGACTTGTATTATGTTACAATTTTCCACCACTGATGACATGTCACATAAACTATCAATTAGAATAATTGTGCGTCGAGGACAAACACCAATAGAAAAGTGTGAAAGAATATTGAAATAATGTAAATCCATCTTGTTTTGTTCTTTCTCAGAGGACGGCGATAAAAACATGAAAGACTTACCAGACCAGTGTTGTTCAAGAACCAGACCGAAGTACCTTCGTCAGAGATGTCTGTACTGTTCTCTGAAAAAACAAAAACTTATTTTTAACATTGCACTTTCCATCCTCAATCAAATAAAATGAGCCTAAAACCATAATAGCTTCATGCGGCTATAACGCTCTGTATACACGTGAAGAACAACCCTGTTGAATGGATCTAAGTTGTATTGGACATGTTCAGCTCAGCTGCATTCAGGCTCAGTCGTGCTGCTTTTAGTTAAATGATGACGTGGTAAATGTAGCATGCGTGTTACTATCCCAACATAAGTGTCGTTATCATGGTCACACTTAACATGTTAGCTGATCGCAGTCAATCAATGTCACAACAGTCCAACTGTCGAGACATATCCCTGTCCCTCGTTTCCTGATGTTTCTCTCGTTCTTCTGCATAAAATGCCCCCAAAGAGAATTTACAGTAAAAGATATTTCCTTCTTGAGCTAAATGACCAACCGCCATGACATAATTGCATGCCCCAGCAACGCTGGAGTACACACGTTGTTTGGGTGCAAAAGCTCTGACGGACATCGACGGAGAGCGAGCTATATGCCCCGCATATTTGAAGAGTTTGCACTAGACGCTGCACTTCCTCGGACTCTCAGCAATACACCCGCCAAGTGTGAAGTCAATCGGATGAACCGTTATCAAGACAATCGAAAGACGGACGGAGACTCCTTCCATTTTTAGTTAGATGTGTCAGCTGCTCGTCCAAAGCAAGCATCTGTTGTTGGCCCCTCCAGGGTTTGGACTGTGCTCGACTGTATGCGGAGCAGCATATTTCTGTGAGTGTGTCACAGAGATATTTTTGAAAGCAGCAGGGGATTACCAGTAAATCAGGGCTGCCCCCCTCTTCATGTCCCATCCTCCACCAGAAAACAAAACAAAGATGAAGTGAAGCAGCACTTCACTTCAATTTTTTATGGTCACAACAGCAAGCTTGTTTTTTTTTTTATTCTCTGTAACCATCACATGATAGAAATATCTTTCCATTCATGCCAAAACAAGACAAAGCAGCCAATAAAGCTGTAATTACTCCGCACAACCAAACGATCCATGGAAACTTAACAATCCTCCCTTTAACCCTTCTCATTAAATGAAACTCATTGTTTCCCTCTAGCTGATATCCTGTGTCCAAAAACAGCCAATTGTTTCATCAATATACGCGTCTTATCAGCATCCGTGAGTAAGAACACACTCTGGATGTCTAGACATCAACTTTCACCTTAATGCGTCAAAGATAAACATCCTCTCACCTAGAACAGTAGGGGCCATACAGAGGCAGTCATATTGCGTGACATACTCCGTTTTAAAGTCCGCGTTGATGGGATAGTGGTGAGCTAATTTGAGCATCTTCTTGAAGGCATCGTAGATGAAGATGAAGCTGATGAGACAGGAGAAGCCCTCCTCGGTGAACCGGGTGAAGTACTGAACCAGGAAGCTGGCGTCAGTGGCCACGAGCATCAGGCAGAAGAACGCCGACCACAGGCCGATCCACAGGCGGAACTCCAGGTAGTCAAACTCGTTATCTCTGTGAGGAGAGAAACACAACACACATTAAAAGAGAGTCAGAAAACTCTATTTGAAGTTGAAGTTGTATTAAAGAATAAAAGAAAACTAGGAAAAAAGAGAACGAAGTTGTTATACTTCAAGGAAAAAGTTAAAACGTTATGAGAATTAGGCTGTATTGTTTTAAGAATAAAAGGACAATATTACAAGAATAACTTAATACCATCAGATCCCTTATCTGACACATGAAAGCTGACAGACCGTCTCCCCTGCTCACTGAGCTGGAGAATTGAAATAAAGACTGTTTTGATTTTAACTTTAAGACCTAAAAAAACAAAAACATGTTGACTTTATTCTCAACATTTCAGCAGTGGACCTGATACTTTGAATGAGTTAAGAAAATGGAGAAGGGACCTGCTGAAGTTGAAGAGCAGCCGTTCAAACACCAGGACAGGACCGGTGCTGCTGAGGATGATGAGCGGCTGGCCGCCCAGCAGACAGAAGACCCCGCCTGTGATCGCTGTGCCCATAAAACTCTCCAACACCCCCTGCACATACAGACGGGAACAAGTCAGGGGACGATTCAGAACATAAGTGGTAAACGCTTCACAAACTGCGAAAAGGTTCGAATGTCAGTCCGACCTGCATGTTTTCTGTAGCGTCCCCCAGCAGACCACCGAAGGTGATGGCGTTCGTCACGGTTCCCAGGTAAATAAACAAAATGGTCGACAAGGCCTGAATGTGAAATGCATCGGTGAAGTCACTGACAAACAAAGGCGCTTTTCTTTTGATGTCAAGTAGGAGGCCCCCACAAAACCTGAAAACAGAGAAACAAAAAGGTGTTCTCTACAATATGGAATACTAAGCAGCACGGATAGATTACTAAACGGGCCTGCCGGGCACAGGCCCAGGGTGCCCGGCAGACACCTACTAACTGTCTCTCAAAGAGACATGTATTAACCAAGAAAAGACACACAAAGGAACACAAGGACTACAAAGAGACACAGAGGACTACAAAGAGATGCAAAACAGCTGCAGAGAGACAAAAAGCAACTAAAAAGAGACTTCTTTCATTGTACAAAACATGGTCTGTGCAACACTGAATCATTAGCACAGTGAGGCCAAATGTTCAAGACACAAGGTTTTTGGGCATTTTACATTTTTCTCTGGTATGCAAATTATTATAGCGATACATTCTCAAATACAAACTATTTAAAAAAGTTTTTTCCTTTCATAATTTCATACCTTCCAGTCTTCTTTAGCTCGTCCCCACTAGCATGTCCCCCTCCTCCATGACCTCCATCATGAGGCATATCTCCGTTCATCTGAGAGTCTCCTCCTGCATACATGTTTTTCCTAAAATACACAAAAATACACACAGTTTTGTTCAGTCTGGCAGAAACTTTACCTTTTTTCTTAGCATTTAAGCTGCTAAAAAAGGTAAAGTGTGCAGCATTTATGGGGATCCGTTGGCAGAAATGCAATATAACGGCGTGGGTCCTCTTTTCTACGGTACCCTAGAATGGACAAACCAATCTATGGCTCTAGATAGGGCTATTGGCGTGTTTGTGTTTCCGCGTCATCTGCAGTAGTTTTCCTACGTGCTTGACACTCAGGAGAAGTTTCAGTTGTTTGCAATCTGCAAACTCGCCGCTAGATGTCACCAAATACTACAAACTGCACCTTTAAGTGTCAGCATGTTGTCATGGCTTCTTTTCTTGAGTTGATCAGACGATGTTGACATGTGCGACGTTATTAAATAGCCTGATCGATCAGTGCTCGCATACATTAAATAGCTAAAACGTTCCTGCTTTACTGCCGAGTAAAACTGCAGCTTTGAATAAAACCCACAGCTGCTCGTTCATAATTGAACACTGTGCTGTGCATGTGGATGCACTCCAGTGATTTTGCAGTGATTGCTCTTCTTTAACATAATGTAGTTACTGCACACACAGCATTCAGAACACATCTTACATGTTTAATGCAAGATCTTTCACCGCCACATTGTTTTAAAATGTACCCTTGCATTGATCATTCCTATCCGTTGAAAATGTCTGAAGTCTGTTACAGACACATTTCATTTAAGCTGCTTCTAAGGCTCAATGCTGCTCCACCTACCACTGGTAATAGCATTACTTTTGTAATACACATCATGAGGTGCTGGAATTACTGTACACCAGAATGTGTGTCAGTTAAAGCATGCATGTCTTTATGCAGTGCTTCCTCTGTGTGTGGGTGTGTGGAAATGGTTTAATAAATGACCAGCAGACTAATAAGCAGCCTGAGGACCTTGTAGAACAATTGTGATTTCAGATAAGATAACAAGGGAAATCTCTCGTGGGGTTACTTTTTATAATCCTCCAGTTAGAAGAAGACCATCTCCAGAAAGTGAAATCATTTTTTTTATTTTTCTTCCCAGGCAGAGACTCCACATGAGGACACTGCTGAGGAGGGAACACAGCGAGGAGACACATTTTAGGTGCTGAATATGCCCTGATCATGTCGTTAAGACCAGATGATGAAGAGACGGCCCCGACCTCATTAAACACCAACTGTGACGATATCAACATGCAATATTGTTGATGGAAAAAAAGAAAAGACTGAAATGTTGTTTTGTTTTTTGAAACACAAAAGTTTTGTTTCCTGTGCAGTGCCAACGATGGAACAATGTGAACATTTCATGATTATCCTGGCCAAAATAATTGCAATTCCCAACATTATTCTGAAAATCATCAAAATATGCTTAAAACTCTTAAAATGGACCTAAAAGCGTCACAGATAAGACACGCGTCTTTTTTTTAGTGAACATCCTTTTTAGTGAAAAACATATGAAACGATCTTAATTGTGGTAATAATCATAAACCGCAAGGTCCCCGTGCATAAACAAAGGACAACAAATAGCAACATTATGTAAATCTGTTCTATTTTACATAATAATTCTTATATATCGTTTCTAATCTGGCTCTATTTTTACTTTACCATGATTGCGAGCTAGACGGCACATGTTTACAGACCTTTTGTCAGAGGACGGGAGGGATTTCGGGGGCTCTATCCGGATGGCCGGGTCCCACTCTCCCGGAGGAAGCACGATCACCTCATCGAGGAACTCGTCGATACCGGCCAGCAGGTCTTGTCTGTCCTTGGCCTTATACGCAATGTCATGAAAGACCTGAACACAGAGAGAGGGGCGAGGCATTCGGGTGTGAAAGAGACCTGTGAAAGCAGCGAACTGTTGTATCAGATCTGAGGATTAATGAATGGGGAAGGAGAGACGGCATCAAAACAATGCTGGTATGAATACAGCAATTAATATCTGATCGGTGCATTTCATCAATAACATGTGAACGCAATGCAGCATCAGTTCACATTCTGAGGATTCAGAGTAAACAGTTACCGTCTGAATATATTCCAACTTTGGATTTGGTTAAATGTTTTTCTACCGCTCACATCTGACCGCTCACATTTTTTCAACATTTGCATACTTTCGGTTTGTGTTTCTGGTTAAATACAAAAAAATAAAATAAAATCCCTGTACACTTGTACACATGATGGCAAATACAAACAAAAAATGTTGATACAATAAATCCTGAAAATTACTGTAATTTTTAAATGACAATTTCTTCCGCACAGGACAACTTGAAGAATATTCCTGATTGACATTGAAAATTCCTTTTTCCGTATCTTGTTATGAAATACAACTTGCGTGCACAAATCCAAGTAGGAAGAAAACGCTGGTCGAACGAGTAGCAGGCACCTCAAACTTTAACGTACTTCTAAGAACCTGATTGTACGGCTGTACGAAGTACGGCTTAAATAACTACCGTAGAGTTGAAACAGTGTCAGCAAAAATCTAACAATGGTTGACTATAGTATGCTGGATTCCTCTTATGTAGTCTACTCTCTGTAAACATTGAGGAATAAATATTGTGAGTGAAAACGACATGAAAGATCTTTCGCTGTCTGCATTAAGATATGACAGTGAGTGTGTTGATGGCAGTCTAACCTCGTCCGACATCAGCGTGGCGATCGCTCGGCCGATCTCATGGTACGACTTGGCTTTGCCTTTGGGTCCGAGCAAGATGAATAAAAATCTGCAAAAGGAACAAAATGTATTTGTGTTAATAATGCTGTTTATCTTTTTACTTAACGGATAAACTTTGGAAATAAAGAAGAGTTTAAATCTACGTTTAAATCAGATGACAGGTGTTCAGGTGTCGGTTTAATGTGCGATTGGATTGAAGATCGACAGCATCTTGACGTCATCTATACACAATCTAAACAGTGCAAACTGTTTGCATGTTTTATTCACAACTTGCTAAGCTGTGGACACATTCCCTCCGAGCACAAAGACATATTGTTGATATGTTTTATCTGCAGGGAAGCTGTTGCATACAGTACACCAGCCGTCCATTCGAACAGCTCACTACATTATGTGCGTTTGCTACGAGTACGGCCATGAAGGTGACGCACTAGATACGCAACCACAGCACAGAAATTCATCAAGGACATTTACTAGTTCATCAGAAAATGAAATGGCTTCATGGCTCTTTGGTTACAACAGCAGCACAGAAACCAGTTCAGTGCGCTCCTGTAGTTTTATGACACTCTCAAACAGCCAGACAGCAAACAGTGGGACACAACTAGATAAACGCCTTTACAAACAAAAGCAATGAATGTTACATTTGTAAAGTTCATAATATTCAGTTTTTAAAGAGTCAGATGTTGAAGTTTCGGAACATTTAAGTCTTTAAATTACAATGGTGTTTTGGATTTCTATATAATTTAAGGTGAACAAAGGGACAACTAAATATTATGTAAATATCATGCAATACATTTTTTGTTGATTAGCGATTTTTTTGTATATTTTCAGATTTTTCTTATTATATTAAGTGTTGTTCCCAGATTTCTGTCGGTGTTATTAAAACTTAAAATATGTGTGTAAAGCAGCCCGAGTTGCTTGACAACTACAACTCTCTCCACGGATATTGTGGACCGACGCGTCCCTCTACATTAAACTTAAGCTCCTATTTATGAATTCCTGGAGTTCGGACATGAATCTCGGCTACCTTGTGGGAACAGGAACCTCAGTTAGGGCTCCCAGCATCACAGCTTGCTGCAGACGAACAAACGCCACGAACGGCGCGTCCAGGAAGTCCACCTCCCCCACCAGCACGTTGGAGGCCTCGGCGTCTCTCGGCAACTTCTTCATGAACTTGTTCCTCAGCTGAAAGTACAAAAGGGGAGAACAGGAGGAGACGTTGGATGTTGTGTTCACACCAGCAAGCTACCCAACACAATTAGACAACCTATATCAAACCGGACAATCCCATTCAGCTTAAATACCAAACCGGGAGGCTCCCGTGGTATCTGGATATGGAACAAGTGGGAAAATGAGGTTTGTATTTCTTTCTGTCATGGCGACGGTGAGGTGTGTGAAGATGGAGGTCAGACACCTGCTGAGCTCCACAGGTTCAACATTATAGCTTTAAGAGGACATTAAAGTCCCGCAATTCTGTCTTTAAAAGAGACATTTTCCAGTTGCAACAAAAGCAACATACCATGTTTTTACACGTCTTTCCTTCTGATCTTCTAACGTTTCAGGTGACCATCTTACAAAGAATAGGTTAGTTCTTTTGTCTTTTTCTGATTTCTGAGTGTTTCTGTTCTTGGTGTAAATACTTTTTTAAAAAAAAGACATTTTGCTGGAATTCATCACAAAATAAATCTTAAATGAAGCTTATGAGATGTCCTGAAGATTTCTCCGAGTGTGAAGAGTTTCTAAATGTTTTGTTGGATATTAATAGCGTATCGGAAGATCCTATTAATTAATATTCCCAGCCCAGTGTTGTCAACTCTCTCAGCACGAGATCCAAAAGACGCTAAATCTCGCAAGAAAGTCGACGCAGACACCGACTGAGAAAAGTCAAGTACTGAAACAAGTTGACGTCGTGTTTCAGGTTCACATTAGTTTGTCACATTTTGCAATAAAAATCCCTTGAGATGCAAATTCATGTCCGTCCATACGTCACTTTTCTATGTTTTTAATGCAGGAGCGGTTATTGCACACGTTCAATCACATACATACAGTCACAATATATGAGCAGATTGGGATCATTAATAGATAAAACTTCAAAGACAAAGAACCATAAACATCTAGATAAGATTGAAAACTACTGCATTATATATTAACTTCAGCAAAGAGCCGGCAGCAACCATCTCCTCAGACGCAGCCAGGGATGAATCACAGCAGCTCTGTGCCCTGGACGGTCACATAGAAGTACGTTTTACATCAGAGTCCGTATCAACAACTTCGTCTTTCCTTCAACATTTCTTCATATACAACCATTTAAAAGCTGAAGTTTCTGTTCAGCTCCACTCACTCACCACTGGTACACTATCAAACACTTCTACAAGCTCATGAACAACGCATTTATCTGCATTTTAAGACAGAAAATAATTTCACACATGTACAATCATGTTCTTTTCATTGTTATTTCTCTGACAATATTGAGGCCAATCAATTACCTGATAGACTAACCAATCAAGAAGAATCAATAGTGATCATTATGACTCTACTTCATTAAGATAACCGCTTTCATATCCTCTGATTTCAGAAAAGCTCTTCTATGTATCTCAAGGATCAGTAGCAATAAAACAATAAAGCGAGGTGGTAAAGAAAGATGGACCGCAGGTGCTAACTAAAGAACTTCTTCTTAATATGATAGCAATTAATCAATCAGCTGTCCGGAGAACGTTCGGATGAGTTTCTAGATAACAAACCAAAGACAGAGTATCAGCTGATGTTAAATGTGGCTTTAAATGTTTGCTGTGCCAGGATTCAAATTGGATTAGATCCCAAACAACACGGACATTTCCTCCAATTAATGAGGCTGCCAGTAAACAACACAAACTGTATAGTTTCAAAAATATGAGTCTGAGAGCAGTTTCATCATTCTGAAATAAATTACGTGTCTAAAATAAGATGATGTACGAATTAAGCCGTTAACAAAGAGACCGATTTTGACCATATATTTAATCCTCTTTGGTGCCAACCCACAATAAACAAAGAAAATAAAAAACAGCAAGTATAACTAGAGCTAAAGGAACATGATGACCGTCTATCACTTGTCGTCATCACGCCCGCCAAACCCAGATCATGCTCTGGAACGATCGCTGCCAATGACCTCCGAGGACTGAAATCCCATAAAGCTGTGACCTTCCTCTGGCGAGATCCAAACAGATCCCATAAGAGGCTGTTGAGCCGTGTTGGCAAGAGGTTTGTCTGTAAATGATTGAGAAGTTAAACCTGCGTAACCGCACACCCTGACCCGGGTCCAATCACCGCTTAATCCACCAACTCCACAAACTACGTCTACTGGCATGAAGCACAAACTCCATTATCTAAGACTTGAAATCTACTCCTAGCAGCTTGCAAAATACTGAATAACATTTCATTATATTTGTTGAAATTGCGGGTTTGCGCCGTGCTGCCTCCTTCTTAAAGGGTCATTTCACCCAAATTCCAAAAAACACACTTTCTTACTTAGCTCTGGTGGTATGTCGTCATGCCGTTTGTTTTTTTAAGTAGATAAAACAATGTTGGCCTTCTGGAAAGTCTACACAATGCAGCAATGAGATAACAGGCTTGTGGCCAGTGTGGAAATGATCACTGCATGTCGGCCCACAGGGGAAACTGAGTGGGTGTGGAAGAGCTTCAGTTAAGAAGATGTGCTTCCTGTCCAGTATCCCTTTCCTTCTGTCCCACAGGAGGACATGTCTGACCTAATTCTCTACCAATTGTCAAAAGTATCAAATCCTCTCAGACCGGAAAATGAGACGTGAACTCTGCAGAAGTGCCTCAACGTCACATTCTGAAACACTACGAATTAGACAGAGAGAAAGTCTCTCCAATATCTCCTCTAGGTGTGACAGATCTCAGTGTATCGTAAGGTTGTCATGGAAGTGGGCTGGAAGAGTACATGCGTGTGTGTTCGGGTGTGTAACATTCCATTGTAACTTAATCATTGATTTCTCTTTCTGTTATTCCTTGTATCAAAGAGTCTTGGCCTAAAAGCATCATCCTCGCTGTAACAAAATCTCCACAGTGACCATGAAAGGAAAAGTTTATGCAGATTTTCAACAGACTCAATAAATTGCTAAGTAGAGCTGAAACATTACATAAGCAACACGATATTGTTGAACAGACTTGGCTGCAGCAGGCTGGGTGATGACGGCCGTGGTTGGAGGAATGTACTTTAGACAGTCTCTGCTCTGACACAGCAGCCACCGTCCGCACCTCTGGAGTGGATTTTTTTTGTTAATAGTTGTTAATGAGTCAAAAAACTACTTGATTGGTAACTTAATTAAGTTATAACTTATCCGTCATTATCTCGATAATTAGCCGATATGTCTGATGACTCTTACAATAATTCTTGTAGAGATTCTTCAGACCAATGGAACTTATTAAAACCATTCATAAAATACTTTGTCGGTTTTTAAATTTCCAGTACAACGTCATAAAAAAACAGAATCACCTACAGAAACCCATCAACGTTGCAGAAACACCACAGCAAAAATAATTTAGAGACAAATTGAAGATAAACATTTATTTCCACTATTATTAAATCATCAGGTTGACTCACCTGCTCTTTTTCCGGTTTGTCAGAAATGTCGTTCATGCTGCTGGAGGTCAGGTTCCGGTGAGTTGTGGTGGGACTATCTGAAAAAAAACACATCAACCCCCGTATGGTTAGACCAGCTTCACGTAAGACGTCATCTAAAAAGGACAGCAGAGAACCAAGAAAAGAGACAGTGTCCCAGACAGTTTGCTCCCCAAGCAGCGCCGAAAAGAACAACAAGACAACAGCGGTCAAAATCATGACGAGATTTCAGATACCAGTAACTTTCATCCACTTAATAGCTGGAGCACAAAACTCAAGCTAACTTGTTATTGAAGCTGAAAACATCTTTCACTGTAACTGGTCTACATACAATCTGCTGTAAATCTTAACATCGGGCAGTCGAACGCCGTTCGATTCAAGTCAGTCATTTAAAGTCTGAAATTCGTAATTAGAACGTAAAGCACCCACAAAGTCCAGCCTCCCCTAACCGTGAGCATGTTGTCTTGTATAGAACCCGACAAATTCTTAGTACAACATCGCATTTTAGATGTTCAACCATTTCCCGTATTTAGTATTTAATGCCAAAAACTCTACGACATGAGTGTAGAGCTTTCTCTGCACTTGTTGGGGAATAACCTAGGATGACAAATGCAGTGCTCACTTAATAAATAATAATAATCATTTTGTGCATCCAGCCTTACTGTGTAGAAATAATCAATAGCTTAATGTCCATCTTTCACATCCAAGTCTTCCACTAAGTGCAGGTGAAGAGCAGACTCTGATTGACGCTCTGCTGGCTTCAGCTCATCAGAGATCTGACAGCAGAACGTGACCTTACTCAAGTCCTGGAGTAAGAGACGGCATCGAGAGCGGCACAAATCTCAACCAGAGCAAATTCTGATGCCACTGTAGCCTTTCAAACATCTGCCCCCTGAGGATTGTGGGTAATAACATGCGTGTCAGTATGATGCAGCCAGTAGAAATGATAAATTGTAACACTTGTATAGAGTAGATACAGAAATAAAGGTTAAAAAACCAACTAACTTAAAAGGTAAATACAATAAGGGATCAAGTATATAATCTTAGACAAATGTAAAGTTTTGGAGAAAAAAAACTATTCAATGTCACTACTATATAAAGCACTAACAACGAGTACTACTACTGTACTTGGGACAGGACACAGTTTCGTGACTACGTTCAAACTGCAGACGAAAGCTTTCCAGTTTTGACGGTTTTCACTCACATGTGACACAGATCTGATGTTTGAACAACAAAGAGCTGCAGCTGCACAGTTACATTTCCCAATTCCCATCTGAGTCACATGGATTGGCTGTGTGCTACATAGTGAGGCATTTGGCAGATTGGCTGAGTGAGATATTTATACGAAAGACAGATGATTCTAATTGGAGAAAAAAAAAAAGCCAAATATACGAGCCACAAAACTCAAATATACTCTTTGGCTGTTGCTTCTGTAACAACAATAACGAGCCGTGAGTGAACCAGAACTGATCGGAGGTCTGCAGTGTGAACGTAGACTGGGTCCAGTGAACTTACTAAGCCAGTCCATGCTGGTACTCCTTTGAGACTGCAAGTCCTCCATTGAAATGTGACCCGACAGGCAAGTCACAGAGTTCTCGAGCGGACTACGAGCTTTTAGTGGCGGCAGCAGCAGGTTATCAAACCCAATCCAGGGCAGCAGAAGAGAAGGAAAAAAAAGAGATGGAAGGGAGAGATGATAGACAAGCCCACTGAGCCAAAGCAAGACATTTGTTAGGAGAATACAATTGAATGGTTAAAAGATGTGTAAAACAGGATCCATCTGTGTTTTTTACAAGCTGTGCGGAGGAGTGTGGTAAGAAGAAAAGCGACATTAAATCAGGGAGCCGTGGGTCATTGGACAGGATTACTGCAACAGGAGTCAAATTGTATTTTAATGAACTGGAGGGTGTACTTTATCCTTGTTTAGTAGATATCAATGAATCATTATCAGCACACCTAGCTAATCCTGAACAGAGGGAGCTTTTCTTTCGATAGAGTCATAAACACTTTCCATAAGCAGCAGGTAATAAATAACTTCCCTTTCCAAAGACCCACGGCTGGTAACAGATTAATTATGTCGTCAACACAGAGAACATCCAGTGACTCAATGTGTTGCAATCAAAGGACTCATAGACGAGTTGTTAACATGAGTTAAACATCAGTGTGAATGAGGGCTGTCACTTTAAATCTCACCGCTTCAGATTGAATATTGTGTTTGTTTCTGATTAATAACGTTTGATGAGGTTTTTATTTGCAGCTTTGTGCTGCTTTCTGAGGAACATATTCAATAGTTCATGACAATTTCACTGATAAAAGATAATTAATTAAGCCATGTTTTTATAATTTCACAATTTTTGCATGAATTTGAATTCAGCTCTCTTTGCACTTTTCGGTCTGACCCTCGGTGAAGCACAGTGACAGCCCGTCCTGTGGGAGGAAAAGAGTCGTTTCATTCTACTGTAAGTTAAACACGAGCTGTCAGAAATATCAACAAAATCATAAGTTAACAGAGTGAAAATTGAAATTCATCATCAACTTCAGAGATTCTGACTGCTGTAAATTATAAAGCTTGATTAATCATATCCTATCAAAACACTGGATGGCTTTCATGACCTCACAGGGCCTTGGACTTTTCTCACCTAGTGTTATAAATTCATAGACTGAACTCGACTCATCAGGGTCAAAACTTACACCCGAAGTCGATTTGAGATCAGTTCCACCTGCTCTCACAGGAGCATATCAATTAAGTTATACGCATCCGTGAATTCAGTTAGTACATTAGCCTACAGTGAGTACGTTAAACGTGTTGTTAGAGTGATAATGTTTGTGAGGAATTAGCATAAGACATCTACAAACTACAGTTCCACTAGTTGAATGAGTGAGCCAGTAGTAGTACTATGGTCGCACTTTATTAAGGTTTTTGGCGTTAACGCCTTCAAAATAAAGTATAAGGTCCTATATTTAGATATGCAGAGGAGGGCAGCAGTGTGTCGCACACTGTGGCTTTCCTCACTGCCCTCAAAAGAAAATCTAAATTAAACGCAGTAATGCAGGTATGTACAGCTAAACCCATTATAGAGTAAATGGCTGATTTAATTTTTTCTTTGTATCTTTTTGGAAAAAAAGAGAAGACTGCATCAAACTGGCATCAGTATTACCGTTCTCCTGGTTGGAAAACAGCCTACTTGCACTGGAGACCGTCTTGCCGATGTCAGCCAGAGAGCGCAGGTTGGACTTCTTGGTCTGGTGACGATGTCTCCGTAACAACGTGTACATCACTTTGTCCTTCAGCTCGGCTTTCAGCTGGCCGATCTCTATCTGGTTGTCAGTGATCATCTCTGGAGGTGCACCGAGAGAGGGGAGGGGAGGGAGAGAAGAGGGTGAGGGAGAGAAGAGGGTGAGGGAAGGATTTCTGTCTTTTTCTGGAGGGAAGAAAGTTAAACGACACTGAACAGAAGACTTGACAAACTATATTATTAGAGCTGCGTATTGGCAACAATCTGGTGATACAATACGCATCATGATACAAGGGTTACGATTCAATATATTGTGATACTGTAAGCAAGGAGATATATTGCAATTTATGTCATAGCATGAAGTTCACTAGAGATCTTTGCACGTAAAAAAATGGTGTTTTTGAGATCAATACGATGCACCTTTTCTTGGAACAAAAGTTGAAAACCCAAATTTATTCAATTTTCAGTGACATCCAGCAAACCCTCAATGTCAACTTAGAATTTCTACTTTATATGCAACATAGAAAATGTAATAATTTCTCTGAATTGTCAGAAGGTTTTATGTAAATCTACCAATTGTTTCAGCACCTGAAGGCTCCATCATCACCTACAGCTGACCCACTAGAAGTGTGAGGCGGTGTCTGTATCTGCAGAGGCTCTTTCGTCTGCCTGTATTTTCATATTTTGTTCGGGACATTTCTGGGCGTCAACCTCTATAAAAAAAGGTAGCGACCAGGTGTGAGATTGTGAGCACACTTCTAAGAGGAAGCCATGAAAAAACGCTGTGATGAAACACCAAGCGGACAAAGCTCGCCCCAAAAGGAAAGTCAATCCAGGGTTGGCTTCACCCGATGGCGAGCACCCTAACCCTCGTCGAGCCGAGGAGGAGGGGCCAACTTTGAACGTCGTGTTTACAAACCGCAACTGATAAATCCTACTCATTGTGCCTTTAACGACATCGTTCCATGAATTCAGAAATTGGAGACAAAAGAAGTTCTGAGGAGCAAAAACACGAAACAAATAAAATAATAAATAAACTTTTCATTCTGCGTGTAATTTTTCCCCGTCCTGCAGCCCAACAACCTCAACTTAGTAACAACTAACCGAGTCAACATAACTAGTCTCCTCATTCTTGTAAAGACAAGTGCCTCCCAGACACGAAGCTCCTGTATGAAAGTCTTCATGGCATCATAAAAACAGCTCAATCAAAAAGTCTTGTCTATTTTTAAAAAAAGAAGAAGGTCAGAAGCCTGAACGCCGACATATAGCAGCCTCGGGGAGATTTCTCTTCTTGTGGGGGGGCAGCGCCGCTAATGGCCCATCAGTCAAGTCGGCCGGCCTCAAAGCAAGAGGCCCAGCTCCGCTCGGCCTGTACAGTGCATGCAGCACACTCAATTGCTTCACATTAATCACTCCGAGTGGTAACTCTTCCTCCTGCTCCCTCATGCAGACGAAAACGAGGAGGGCTGGCTGTCCTCAAATTAGGAAGTTTTTTGTGTGACCATTTACAAACTAGTATTTGAGCCCCCCAGTGTTATAAAGTACAGTAATGACCGGACTTGACTTGAGCTGTGACCTTTTGCTTCTCTTAAAGAGAAGAAGAGGAAGGAAGGAACCCTCTGAGCCCCGTGTGTGGTGTGCATCAATCCATAAACCTGCACGCAACACTACAGAGCAGCTCTGCATATCGTGCCCGTCACAGAGCAGCTCTGCATATCGTGCCCGTCACAGAGCAGCTCTGCATATCGTGCCCGTCACAGAGCAGCTCTGCATATCGTGCACGTCACAGAGCAGCTCTGCATATCGTGCACGTCACAGAGCAGCTCTGCATATCGTGCACGTCACAGAGCAGCTCTGCATATCGTGCATGTCACAGAGCAGCTTATTTTCTGATGAACGGATTTGTCAGTGGTTTTTAACTGTTTTACTAAAGATCTGCTCTTGGCAAATAAAGCAACATTAAAGTTGTTGTGGTTCTGTTGAGGCACCTCAAAGAACTTGGTTGAGAAAAGGGAAACTTCATAACCAAGTTAAGGCACTGTTGAACTATGGGTAATGTGATTAGAAATGCAGTGAACTGTTCACTGCATTAAAAAAATATGCACCTCAACCTGAAAATAATCCAGGTTGCAAACAATTAACACTGGGCCCGAGTGCAATGCAATTTAATCCTGTTGCATAAGACCAACTTACCAACAACCTGAGATAGAGTGGAAGCTTCCATGTCCAGCATGATGGTGCCTTTCTCTATGCACGTCCGCAGTTCAAAAAGGCTATGCAAGGACAGCGTGGCCACGTGGGGTTTACTCCAGCGTTCACCTCCTTTCTCGACCTTCTCCTCAAACTTGATCCACCTGGAGGGATGCAGAGGGGAACACAACAAACACAGAGAAACACAGAGTACCATGAGGCTTTTTACTCATATCATACATATATTATTAGTTTATGTAAACAATGCACACCAGACTTGTTGACTCTGCTATTAATCATACCCGTCACTTATTCAGCACCACCCACTTTACCATGTCTTTTGTCTCCAATAGTTTCTATTGTTACTCATTTCATATTTTATTTCATGCACCTCCTATGATTTATTTATGTTACTTTCTCTAGCTAGTATAAATTTCAGTCCTTGTATTGCTGCAACAACAGAATTTTACCACCTGGGGATCAATAAAAGTGAATCTGAGTTATACGAGTCCTCGCGTTGCAAAAGTGGTTTGAAAAAATTAATAAACATCATCGTGAAACTGATGATAAACTGTCAGGTGTGCGCAATAAATGGTCAAACTAAATTTCCCTCTTATTACTATTTTTAATACTCCCACTTCAAAGCTGCCTGTTTGTCATTTATTTCATGTTGCCAAAGTCTCATTAAGTGCCGGGCTGAACGAGTGAGAGAATTCAGTTCTTTGTTTTAAGTTCAACAAAACATTATCAGTTCTTAAATTCGGAGGCTCACACACACACACACACACACACACACACACACACACACACACACAC